TTGGCCCTGGAATGAACCAGTCCGTGTATTGCACCCTCTTGGGGTTTTACACCCTTTTGAATTGGGGTTGGTCTAGTTGTGTGGCCCTGGAATGAACCAGTCCAGAGTGCCTGGATCATTCCAACGGGGCCACCCCCCTTTTTTTTGGTAAGGAACGCCGGGCCCGGGTTTTCGGCAGAGTGTATAATTCAGCCTTGGGCACTGGCCCCGTTTGTCAAGGGGGGGGGGGGGAAATCCTCACGGAATCAAAGATGAAAAAGAAAACAACAGAATCAGACTAAGGCACCCCCCTTTGGCCATTTCAAAGCCAATTTATACCCCCCTACAGCGAACGCTCGAGAAAAGAAAGGGCTCCTCCGGCCATGCTCAGAAAACCTCCAGCCCAAAAAACAAAAGCAAGAAAGGGCTCTCACACTGCCAAAAAAAAAAAAAAGAAAGAAAGAAAGGGCTGATATTTAGGGGKGCCTTCTGCAGGTGACTCCCGGGCGACCTGGCCGGGGTAGCACGGCCGGGCGAGCCAAGTAGCCTAGCATATATCTCTACTTAAGGGGGTATTTTGCAGATTATCCCTAAATTTTACTTAACTTTATACTTTTCATTACTCATTATTCGCTTCTTTTTCTCAACTGAAAAAGAAAACGAATACCTTTCTCGGCCTTTCGGCTAATTAGATCAAGTGTAGTATCTGTTCTGATCAGTTTAATATCTGATCCGGAAAAAAAAAGAAAACAAACGAAAAAAAAAAGAAAAAAAAAGAAAAAAAAAGAAAAAAAAAGAAAAAAAAAAGAAAAAAAACAAAACGAATCCGACGTGGCCCTGACTGCACTCATTGTGTTCGGGGGGGGAAGACCGTAGCACCCAGATTATGAATGTATACAAGCCGTCTTTCCGGTCAGGTACAGTCATTATGCGGGTGCGTTGTGTTCGGGGGGCGGGGGGGAAGACGGTAGCACACTATTAAATGTATAACCGACTGTAATTACGGCCCTGCTCCGATGTATCCGCCCGCCCTCACATGATGAGCATGCGTTGTGTTGGGCGGTAGACTGTAGCTGCACACTCTTTAAGTGTCAGTTTTGACCATTCACACACTCCCTCGTACACGAGCCTTAGGAAACACGGAAATTACCATTTTTTTTTCTTGATAGCTATTTTTTTCGCTATTGTTCAATTGCACAATAGCGAAAAAAAATAGCTATCAAGAAAAGTGAAGAGTGAATCTGTGTGTGTGTGTGTGTGTGTGTGTGTGTGTGTGTGTGTGTGTGTGTGTGTGTGTGTGTGTGTGTGTGTGAGAGAGAGAGAGAGAGAG